AAATTGGGTGAATATATCTTATAACTGATTTACTGGTAGTCACGAAAAACAATACTTAATTCGAAAAATAGAAATCATTAATTAGGACGAAGCGTAGCGTCGGTCAATTATCATAAAGCTTAAATGAATAGGATTGCATATTCGCTAAAATATGTCGGAATGATTTGATGTGCTTAACAGACGTGTTTAGCCAATATGAATAAGGTTAGAAAGATTAAGGAGGAAAGCAGTTATGTAGCTTTGTCAATACTCTCTTCATCCTTAAGTCTATCAATTGAGCATAAGGAGTTCTTGCCCAACTTCCTTTCAACACATGCCCCAATCTATTAATTCCAAAAGTCTCTCTTATCCTGCATTCGGTAGCATAAATCCCATATACAGTATGCTGATGCATCTGAAATCATTTAACCTCGTGTCTGATAAAAGAAATTATGGGGATCTTCCTTATTTTGTTGATCTTTTTAGAAAGAAGGAAAAATGTCAAAGCTATAACATGACAAAAGGTATCAACTTGCTTATTTCTGACAAAATATTGTCTTTCAAAAAGTGTTATTCTTAATAAAGCTAAGTATGCTCTAGAAACAACCGCTTCACTCTTAATCAATAAGTTTAATGCAACTAAGAATCCGTGACTTCAAAATTCCAGCCATGGCCAATTTACCGACTTTCTTAATGGCCAAAGCATCCAAAACATGTAAACGGTTACTCTTTTATAGTTTCATTATGAGCTTAATATTACTTTCATACTCGTCAAACGAGAGTAGAACCTTATCTTAACTGCATGTCGATTTCGAATATGATTGTAATCATGGATTAATATAAGTTGCTACCATATAAGAGTAGTTCGGTTAGTAGTGTAGATGTAAGAGCTCTACCGAGAGGTCAGAGACCAAGAGCCCATAGATGCAAGGGCTTCTTGATTTATACCTTACAAATGATATTCTAACTTTCTTGTCTAAATGGATTTTATCTCTAAATCTATCCCTTTTCGCCTCCTCTTTACTTCTCGTTATGTACTGCAATGCAAAGTCTGTTCATTCTCACTTTAACAATCGGTTAGCAGTTTCGTTATTCTCGAGTGGTCTTCATCTCTTGAGCCTAGACTGCATTTTTTCCTCCAGGACTGCATTTTTCAATCACACGTCTTCTGCCTTGTCACCCTTTTGCTGCCTCATCTTCAATCACAAACTGGTTGTTCAGTCCGAGCCAACTAATGTGCAGGTGGAAGAACAGGCAGAGATTGTGAAAGGGGAGTACGTCTTGTCTGGTGAATGGCCTAAGAGACTTCGAATGTTGGTGGTACGGCCGTGAACTCTGGACAGCGCACCAAGTAACCGTCGACTGGTGCATAGTCGTGGGCCCCAAGGCCGCAAGGACAAGGTCAGAGGACTATCCGACGTGAGGAAGAGAGCGAGAAAGAGGGAGAGGCTCGGAAAGAAGCCAGAAGAGAGACGTGGAAGAGATGAGAGAGAGCATTTTGTAGGGGAAACTATGCCTTGACTCCCCCTCTTACTGTAGAACACCAGTCTGCTCTGACGCACTCGTGGGCATTGGCAACAGGTGGAGAGAACACGAGTGAGCGTGTACTGAAATATCAACCTTAACAATGAATGGCATGTCTGACTGTCTTTCTGTCTGGCTTTATCAAATGGACAGGAAAAATAAAGTTTGAAGAAAAAACTGGCCACTGTAACCAACGTCCGGCGATGGGGGCGATTGGCTAACATGGTACCAAGCAAAGGTGTGTACAATTGCGCATCTGTTTTCCGTATGAGGTGATTGACACAAATGGACCAGTCTAAGTGGGAGAAAGCTACGGCTTCCCAAGCAAAGGCTGTTTCGGAGACCCATTGTATGGGTCTTCCTGTCTCGGTTTAATGCTATTTTAGGCAAACATTTCAGATGGCCTGTGAGATGCGGACAAAGCCATCTTCACGGTCGTTCAAGGAGGCTCAACCAAATACAAGTCAGTCGGGTTGGTTTGTTTTAATGGCAGAGGCAACGTTCCCATGCCATCCGAAGGATTCTGGTTGCCATATTGGTCGAGTGTGTGGCTGGGAGAAAATTGGTTTGGCAAAATCGTGATTGGGCACTCGGACGTTAACGAATGCATTGTTGGCTTCATGCATTTACAGTAAGACCTTGCAAAAGTAGAAAATCTTGAGGATTCAGAGGCAAATTGTTCATTTGTTCCGGGTCGGTTTGTAGGCTTTAAGGTGATGACCCCATTGTGATGGTATGAAGACCAATGCAAAAATCCAGATACATTAGAGAAGGGGTAGGTGGCTTTCGAAAAAGCCCCAGACATTTCATTCATTCCTAATAAATAGTGAGGCAGAGCTTCATAGATTGATTTCACCAGAGGGCGTTGTTTTGCCCACATTTTGGAGAATAAGTGGACGGAAAAATTTGGAAAATTTATGAAGCAAAAATTTTTATTAACGCCAAACTTGTTATTCATATGGTTATTTTACTGTTTGGCGACATGCTAAGAATATGATGTTCTAGGACCTTTTCTTTCTTATAAAAAGCATGATGTAAGCGGTGTTGAATTGGGATCACCCTTATTGGGCAAACATTTTGTAAATTTTCAAAGAAAATTTTCTCACTCTCAATTTAAGCATATCCTAAACCAAATTTTTAAAATGAATTTTAATGTCTAATAACATGGCAGCCCCAAAGGATTCTTAGTTAGCCAGCTTCTTATGACAAATTCTTCAG